ATGATGTAAAGTATGCTGGATTAGTTGTATCTGCTAGAAAAATTACTTTATTCAAAACTACAATTAGATTTCTAGGACACAATATTCATCAAGGCATCATTATTCTCATAGATAGATCAATACAATTTGCTGATTAATTTCCCGCTCAAATTTTAGACAAAAAAGAACTCCAACGGTTCTTAGGATGTCTTAATTATGTTATTGATTTCTACCAAGATCTTGCCATTGATGCTAGACCTCTCCATGATAGATTAAAAAAGAATCCCCCACCATGGACATATATTCATACTAAAGCAGTACAATTAATTAAAAAGAAAGTCAAAACTCTCCCTTGCCTTGCTCTTCCTCACCCTACTGCTTTCAAAATTATTGAATGTGATGCTTCAGAATTGGGTTTAGGAGGAATCCTAAAACAACAAGTGGATGGTCATGACCAACTCCTCAGGTATACTTCTAAGGCCTGGAATCCAACCCAACAAAATTATTCCACAGTAAAAAAAAGAATTACTTGCTATTGTCCATTGTGTCACAAAATTTCAAAGTGATATTCTCAATCAACATTTTCTCATATGCACGGATTGCAAAGCTGCTAAAGATATTCTACAAAAAGATGTTCAAAATCTTGTTTCTAAACAAATATTTGCTCGCTGGCAGGCAATTCTTTTTGCCTTTGATTTCACTATTGAACACCTTCACGGTTCTGCCAATTCCCTTCCTGATTTTTTAACCCTTGAATTTTTGCAGGGGGGGCCACACTGACGCCAACGACGAAGAAACACCATTATCACTTGCACTACAGCTCTTTGCAGCTAATCAACATAATACTTTGTCCAATCCACCTATTCTTATGAGCACTCGTAGCAATTCTTCCTGCAATGAGAAACGCCCACTAGAAATAATACCGTTTGAAGGTGAAAATCCGCCTTTGGCCACCCTTTCACCTTCCATTTCACCCATTCATCAAATAACTTATCCAAAAGCTAATACATCCACTCCAGCCTATACTCCTGCTCAATCAAGGCCGACCCAAAGGCCTAATATTCCTCGATCTATATTCATTGAAAGAGCATATCTCATGGACATTACAATAGAGGACCACCATACCACTATGGATCCAATCAAACTTGCTCCTTTATATCTCATAAACCATTTAAATCATACCAATGGAGTAAAAACCCGTGAATACTATGAGGCCATTCTTATGGAAACAGGGTCCATCTCTGTTGTCCATTACTACCAACAAAATACAAGAGTGATTGCATACTCTAAAATCCAAATCAAGAAGTTGCTTTCTTATGAGGAGTGGGGTTGCAATCCCACTTAAGGAAAAAAACTAAACAATACTGATTTTTTGTATAAATATTATAAATATGCCGAATACATAGAAGCCTGGCATAAAGTATTTTACTATCAAAACCCAAATAATTCTCATAGCTGGTATATTCAATTTAGGTTACCAATTTTCGAAAGATTCCTAAGTTGGTTTAAAAATTGGTTTTTAGTATGGGGATCAACTACTGCGATTTTGCCTCCTGCGTTTCAAAAAGCTCAGGAACAGTTTGCTCTCTTCAACAACATTGATATTAATACAGACCCTCACCTTTACTTTGTTGCATTATACCAACTCCCATGGATTATGAAGTGGGAATATTCAATCTCTGTTAATAATACAACCGACCATACTTATATTCTTCGCCTGGGAAAAACCATTTTAGTTAAATGGTGGGACATCTTCAATATGGATCCCACAACTATAGTGCCAAAAAGAATTCATCTACAAAAACCTATATACAATCCCAATCCAATAGGATATAATATTGCCAATACTTCCTTTGATTTTCCCACATACTTGAGAAATATGTTGCAAGCAAACCCTAATACTACAAAAGAAATCCTTGAACAACAAATGAAAGAGATTTTTGCAGAAGCCGGAAGAAAGCCAGTCTCACTAGAAGAGACCGTACAATCATCACCAGCCCGTACCAATAAATACTTCCCACTCGAAGAAATTGATCCCGAAGAAGAAGAGGATGATCCTGAAGAATGCAGCCAAAGACCGTGACTATGCTGCACCGACAAGACTCATACCTGCCGAACAAATCACTATCCACACCGATGCATAAGACGAAAAGAAGCCGACAATCTCCTGTAGCCACCGACAGATGAGACAAACAAGTTACTGTTCCCACTGATATATAAGACAAAAAAGCGACTGTAGTACACAGGAAATGACAAAGCCACCGACACGTGACGACAAAAGAAATACTATTCCCAGATGCCGTTTTGTCCTCACTCCCGACCAATGAATATTCTTTTTCCTTTTAACGTTTGTCTTTTTCTTTTATGTCATATCCCTCTGCTTTATGTCTCTTCGCGGTCTTTTCCTGCACCCTTACCTTCGCGACGAAGGCACCTCCCTTAGCTTATAAAAGGCAGCCTCCTGCCTCCAAACCTCCAAGGTCGCTCGGAGCCTCTCTTCTCTCTAAGTTCTTCGCTCTCTCTCTCTCTGCTCTCTTATTCTGAGCTCTATCTCTCTCACTCTGTTTTCTCACTATACAACTCTACTCACTCTAAGTTTTGCTCTTTCCTCACTACTCATCTTTACGCTCCATCTACTGCCATCACAGTTGCGGTTCCGACCTTACAGCCCATGCTTTCCGGGTCTTTGTCTCAATTCTTACTCCATTAAGACCCAGGTTCTATCTTCTCCTTTCTTTTTATTTCCAATATGTGCGATTGTAATTTTCATTCACTTCCATCATACTGCCCTCAGCACTGGAAACTCTTTTCCAGTTATTGTATTTGCAGTTTGTAAGTGTGTTTTTATGCTTTTATCATTTGTAAGTGTGTACTTTTCGCATTTGTAAGTGTGTGTTTGCTTTCATAATGTCTGTATAAACGTCTGTCTAAACTTTGTAAGAGTGTTTTTACAGTTGCTTTCTCTTGTATACAGTCCAAGTTATTAATATAATGGTTTGATTATTATATAATGGTTTGATTATTATATAATGGTTTGATTATTATATAATGGTTTGATTATTATGCAATTGAAACTTGTATTTAGCATAAAAATGGGAAATCACAACCACACACAGTGATTAGTAATAGATATATCTGTCATACCATTTATCTGCATACTCCTTTTCTGTTT